CTCTCGTTATGTTGACATCACGAGAAAATTAAGTCGTGATAACGAGAAAACAACTCGTTATGTCAAGATCACGAGAAAATTAAGTCGTGATAACGAGAAAACAACTCTCGTTATGTCGAGATCACGAGAAAATTAAGTCGTTATAACAAGAAAACAACTCCTTATGTCGAGATCACAAATTAAGTCGTGATAACGAGAAAACAACTCGTTATGTCGAGATCACGAGAAAATTAAGTTGTGATAACGAGAAAACAAGAAGGAAAAAATAATAATAATGCATGGCCACTTAGAACTTCCGTATTGAACTCATATTTGAAATTTATATATATATATATAGATTTTTAAAATGTGTAATTAAAACTACCAGTAGGTGGCATCAAGTCACTGTTAATAAGTGAGTCATTGCGATTGAACCGAATCATTTAAACGGTTGATTCATTCAGGAACGAAATGTTGCTCAGAGGAACAAAAGTGTTGTGGCTGTGTTTGGAATTATTTTTGTTGTCGAAATATTTTTGTTTCTTGTTTATTGAACTGTTGTAAAAAAAAAAAAAATCTATATATAATCGTGCTGATTTTTGCAGGAAAAAAATGGCACTCTTCGTGTGATATTGATTAACTATATGAAATTATATAAATATATGCATTTTCTGCCCCTATATCTTCAATTTTGTGAGCATTCTAATTAGACTGAATCACGCAGTGAAAGAAGAACGCACTCTAAATGCGCACGCGCACTAGTCTAATCTACTACACTGCACTCTGTAGGAGTGTTTTGTTTAGTTTTTGCAAAATGCTTGATAACGTCAAATCGCACATCGTTAAAACAACAATTACGATATTATCGCAGAAGAGTCCTGCACCACTGTCTTTTTGGCTAATTTGTGCAAAACCTCTTGCTAAACTATCAAAGCTTCATTTTACCCAACAATGCAACGATGCAAGTTACCTTAACATGCTTGCGAAGGGTTGATGTCCAGATTTTATAAGCTGCTACTTTGGTCTCCCTAGGCAAACACAGCTTGCACTGCATAATAGAGCATAAATATGACCAGGGGTTCACTTCATTTACTTCGAGTTCAACTTCAGCAGAATACGACGGGGTTTAGTTTTGAGCTGGGTCTGCACCATAACGCCTGTCTTGTCCGTCTGCATCTTTCTTGTGATTTTAGCGCCAGTTTGCTCTCCTGCCCATTATTTACTGCAGTAGTTTCGAGGGTGCAATTTTTTTTACTCCGCAATTAATGTGTTTTAAAATGTAGCGAAGTACATACTTCAAACAAAACATACTTAAGTAAAATTACAGAATTAAAAAATTACTTTAAAAAGTACTACACAAAAAAGCTAGTCAATTACAGTAATGCGAGTAAATGTAATTAGTTACTTTCTACCTCTGCTAATTATAATAAGACCGCATGGTGAACCTGTGAACCTAAAACATTGCAAGTTGGTTAAACTTACAAATTAATGTTCACCTGCTGCCTTAAGAGTTAACTCAACTTAAATATACTCTTTCAACTCAAGAAGTTATGTTTTACAATTTATTAAACTAATGGTCATTTGTTGTTTCAACTTGATGCTCTGAGTTAAAACAACTTACGTCACATTATCAGTTCAAGAAAACTCAAATCAGCTCATAATAAATAGACTTATAACTGGTCTGCTCAAAAATATAAAAATGTTATTGAAATAAGTTCAAGCAATGTTGAACAAGCTTTAACATTGGTTTGAGGATACAAATTCTTGTTAGGAAAACAGGTTTTAAAAAGCCATTTAAGAGCACAAGTGCTTAAACATCAATTTCATTAAAACATCGAAGTTTCTCTAATATACAGAACTAGAAGAAAGGTAGATGAGTGGTATAAAAGAGGTATAGAAAACGTAAGTGAGGTGGAAAGAAAAAGGCATGAACTGGGAAAATGAAATGAGGAGTGGCAGGCCGTGTGTAATGATACAAAATAACGGCTCATCAATTTCTTTAAAGATTGTAAGTGTACTCTATATAAACAAGTACATGTAACATTTTGACCTTTGAATGATTTGCACAATACATGGTCATTGACTGTTGAACAATACTCATGTAGTAAACTCTTACTAAAAGCAATAAGAACAAGCATGTGAAATTTGTCTATTTCCAATGAATGCTCAAAGGTTTTTCCTTATAGTAAACACTTGATCAACATCATGTACAAATGAAATATCTATATTTCAGATACAGAAAAAAACTAAACTAAACAATGGTCAACTCATTTCATATTTTGTTACATTTGTACTTTATATTTGTACATGATGTTGTTGATGACATGTTTAGGCACGATATATAGTATAGTACTTAGATTGACTGACAGTAAAAAAAAGGGACTAAAAAGCACTTTAATATGAATTATTACTGATTCTGTGACATAATAATAATGATAAAATATTGTGATAGTTAAGCGGATTGACATTTTCCCTACACATACACTGTAAAAAATGACCGTGGATTTAACGGTAAAAGACTGTAAAAATGCTACAGTAGGCCTAATTTACTAAACGAACGTACGACAGAAAATTGAGCGTACGGTCGTTTCAACGCAAAACGTGGAATTTATCAATATGGAAGTGAGCGGTGGCTATGATCAAATCTCACGTCTGGTCTCAGCTCGTGTACGCAAGCTTGCAGAACCTGGCAGCAGTTTTCTGTCGGGGATTTGTTGCGCAGCGCCGCTCACGTCCGTAGACACGGTGTAACATTGGTTTTGCTTTGTTTCACAGAACTAATCGTTGCCTGGGTGTACTTTCACTCGAGTAAAATTGAAAACTGAGTACTTTTACTTTTACTGGAGTAATATTTTATTATACGTATCTATACTTTTACTCAAGTACTTGATTTGTGTACTTCGTCCACCACTGGTATGCTGTTTATAATGAATGCCAATAACCTAATTTGTGTTTTATTTTACAGTTTAAAATATAATTTTATAACTACTTATTTTTCATTCTTGTTCTGTTCTGAATACCGTTACATTTAAAATATTTGTTGTAGAGTGAGGGGAACTAAATAGGCTGTTTATATTTACCAGTATTTTAATATAGGCCTACATATAAATTATATATTAATGTAGCCTAATTGTTTGCAATTAGGCCTACAAGGTTAACGGGTGTTTTTGGAGTAAGATCAATTTCTCTTTCACGAGATTACTTCCTCTTTTTGGCCGGGTTTCGTTTATCGGTGTCGTAAACTCTACGGGGACAGGCTTCTAAACCAGGTTGTGTTTAGGGGCGTTATATTCAAATGACGATTGTTTTCTCCCGCCACATTTATCAACATTCGATCATTCGTACGATGAGATTGGCGGCATACGAATGTTTCATGAATCACACGTGAACTCTGTCGTAAATTGATTTGTGCGCACAGATCTGCGCTCGTTTCTACGTTAGATTGATAAATGAGGCCCACTGTGTTCTACAGTGAATTCAGTATCATCAGTACATTAACAATGTGTAAACATATTTTCTTACATCATGCATCTTGATTATCTCATAATTTTTATACAGTCTATGGTCCTTACATTGCCCCGTCAAGTGAGACGTCATCTGTGAACAGCCGCTGCCTGGACTTGAATGTTTGTCTGTTTTTGGAATTACAGTACAAATACAGTACAGCACAGCACAGCTGAGAAAGACGCTTTTTGGAAGCTTGATGTATCCTGCAGCAAAATACAGGTGGCGGAACCGGACCGGGTGTTCACAGATTGCGGCTCAATTGGCCGCGGTCTTACATTCGCGGAGCACGGTCAATGTTCTCACACGCAACAACTGAAATAAATAATAATAAGTGAAGACTTAAGGTCGAAGACCAACTAAAATATAAGCACTGTGAACTGAAGTGATATAACTTTTTTAGCGTCTGAGGCCCTGGAAAGCAGTGAATAAACGAGGGAAAACTCATATTACATTCGCGGAGCACGGTCAAAAACACGCAATAAATCGCAACATTATTAATTTATCATTACAAAAAAAAAAAAAAAAAAACTCAGCTTCCTCGCATTATTTGTGTTTCTCGACACGAATTCATGTAAAGTCTCCAGGCAGCTGCACCTAAAATGGCGATGACTAACGTTCTGTATTTCGCGGTCTCCACCCTCCCCAACATATGACTTACAGACACGATCGAGTTAAATGAATTTTACAAGCCAGACAAAACTCAGAAGTCAAGACATCGTATTACTTTACATTTCATTTTCAAGAACATATAAACTTTAGTTCAATATCCAAAACTTAAAATGACAAATGGAGTTAAAGAGGAAAAGTAAGTTCATATAACTTAATTGGGCTAATCATCAAATCACGATCCGCCGAAATCAAGGGCTTTAAAGATTGAACTGGGCTGCAGTTTTTCTGTGTGGAATATTCAAATCATCAAATCTGTGACTGTGTTTATCAGGTGTGTTTGGTGATACGGTTACAGTGAAGTCAGTGTTAGTGCTGGAGGGAGATTCAGTCACTCTAAACTCTGGTTTTACTGAACTAATGGATGAAGATCTGATTCGGTGGAGGTTTGGAGCTGAAAACACTGTAATAGCTCAAATAATTGTAATGGATGAGAGAGTCACTGTATATGATCATGTTCCTGACGGGAGATTCAGAGACAGACTGAAGGTGGATCATCAAACTGGATCTCTGATCATCACAAACACCAGAACTGAACATGCTGGACTCTATAAACTACAGAGCAACCGTGTGATAAAGAGTTTCAGTCTCACTGTCTATGGTGAGTTAAATATTTGTTTCACCTTTTTATTTACCTGTAAATTAAAGGTGATTTATTTTACATTTATTTTGATTATTGAGTAATAAAATAACTAAATAATTTCAATTAAGCATCAGTTTCTTCTTTGCTACTTGTCCATGTGTAATAATCTTTTATAAATGTGGAGAGAGAAGTGAAGATCGCTGTCATATAAGAAACTCACTGACTGACTAATGCTGCAATAAACACTTTCTGATCTAGTCATGTTTGTCTCATGTTTGCAGCTCGTCTGCCTGCTCCTGTCATCATCAGTGACTCTTCAAAGTGTTCTTCATCATCATATTGTTCATTGTTGTGTTCAGTGGTGAATGTGGGTCATGTGACTCTCTCCTGGTACAAAGGAAACAGTTTATTGTCCAGCATCAGTGTGTCTGATCTCAGCATCAGTCTCTCTCTACCTCTGGAGGTGGAATATCAGGAGAAAAACACCTACAGCTGTGTGCTCAACAATCCCATCAGCAACCAGACCACACATCTGGATATCAGCAAACTCTGTCACATGTGTGCAGGTACAGCAGTGCTGATAAGAGCATCTATTGCACCTATCCACTTAATTAATTAGATTTTTTTTACCAAAACTGATAACTTACGATGCCAGAAATGATGAATGAGCTTCTGTCATCCTTTAGCTCAGCGTTTCCCAACTTTTTTTAGTCGCGGCACCCTTTGAAATTTTAGCAAATTTGTGGCACCCTACAAAATTAATTTTGTCACAATACTTGAATTTTTAACTTCGATATGATACCTTGAAAAGTATATTCGGTACATCAGGAAAGAACTGCAGAATATACTGTCATACAGATATTTTTAATATAAAACAAGTTGTCTATCAATGGTGGCAATCGGTAGGCTAATTTTTAATGAAGAGACCAATTTATATTACAGATTTTAATGTAGGCTTTTATTCATACGTAAACATTGTTTAATTATCATTATAACTAGCTATCGCACAAATTTTTGCTCACTCAGTGTTTTTATTTTACAGTGGGGTAATTTTGGTGCGGTAGCACGAGATAGCTTGATTTCAAACTTTGAATTGAATAAAAAATGACAAGTAAGCAGTCAGTAATAAAATAAGAACAAATAAAGAAATTACTAATGATAGCACAAATAAAAAATAACGATAGGCCTACAAATTAAATAAATTGCTTTTTAGTTTTTCAGGTAGGTCTAACAGTAGGGCTATTAACTATTTTTAATAGTTATTTTATTTATTTATTTTTTACCAATTGTCAAAAATAAACAGTAGGGCTATTACATAAAGAAACAATACTGTATTACAGTTTCGTGTCGGCTCGATTTTTGAGTGGACTTTGCTGCTCCGATGAGCATGAACGGTATATGAGTGGAGCACTCCAGCGGAGAGCACATGCATAGAGAGGGATAATACGCAGAGCGTCACACCATGTGAAAGTGAAACCTGAGCGGTGAGCTCATTTTCGGCAGCCGGAATTTCGTTTCTAATCTCTAATTATTGGCGACATCAGAAATGTATATTATATTTTTTTAACATTTTAGCAATTTGAAAATATTAAAAATTGACTTTTTACACGGCACCCCTGATCTCGACAGACGGCACCCCGGTTGGTAAACACTGCTTTAGCTCACTCATGTATTTCTAAACAGGCTATATTGTGCAGATAACTTTTTTTACACTTCGGTAAAACGTTCAGTTTTTTTAGTTCATCTATAGAGACTATAGTTAGCTTATTGAAAATGACTATTTATTAAATAATTTATTTACAGACGTACACATCCATCATTGCGATACTGTTGAAGCTGTGATCCGATTGGTCATCACTGCTCTGATGGGCGTGGCTGCTGCGGCTGCTGCTGTTCTTCTGGTCAATGACGTCAGATCTACTAAAGGTTGAAAGAGAACATAACAGATATCATAGATATTCTGACATTTATTGGATTTTTAATTGTAAAGATAAAAATGATGTGTGGTCTAATTGTTTTGTGATGGTGAAACGAAGCTTTACCAATGCTTTCCTCTGAACTCGATTTGAAAAGGTTTCCAAATCTAATGTATTGAGGCCATCTGGAGGCAAAACAATGAATATTCTTTAATGTTTTTTTCTTTTGTCTTTAATACTATGCATTTTACATTAATTACACTGTTTTCAGTTTTTCATTCATGTTATGTGGCTATTTTCATTTTGTTTTATCATTGTATGTAGCAACCATGAAAAAACAAATCTAATATTTGTCACACCAATAAATCACCACAGAATTTGACTGAAAACGGAATATTTACAAACTGAACTATATACATTTATGAATCATACATAGGCCTATATTATAACTGCACGGGTGTGAGAATAAATTTGAATGGTGGTTAAATATAAACACATTTACAGCATTAAACAGTTTATTCAAAAATCAAATAGTGAAAAAGTTCATTATGAGGCAATATAGTGCAACAGATGGTTTCAGTGCAACAGTTCAGAATCACAGCAGTAATCTGAAGCCAAAACACACACACACACACACACACACACACATTTACAGCATTATTAAACAGTTCAATCAAAAATAGTGAAAAGTTACTAATGAGGCAATATAGTGCAAGCGTTCAGAATCACAGCAGTACAAACTTTTCAAACTGAAGTTTGAAGTTTCAAGACTAAAGCAAAAAACAAACAAACAGATAAACGGTATATAGCAGAATCATCAAAAGTCCTTCTCCTTGTGGAATAAATGAAGATTTTAACTTCCAGAATCTACAGCATGTAGCTGCTTTTAAAGTTATTACAGTAGTTCACAACAATGACTTTTTGTCCTTGTTTTGATGCTACATTCATTCATCTGCACCCGTGAGCTGAACTGACTCCGTTACTGTAAAATGGTCTATTTCGGTTTTTCATCCTTCTAATAATCACGATGCATTTTTTTTATTTAGTAGGAATGCAAAATCCTACAAAAAAAAGAAAGAAAAAAAATAAAAAGAAAGAAAAATTGATTCATGAAATATTAAGGTACATGTTTTGTTACACAACATTCACTTTATTTTTTAAACATCTTGCACAAGAACTTAAGTAACACAACCATACAAAAAAAAAAAAACAATAGTCATTGCATGAACTATAACAGCAGAGGAGCTGCATATGTTCCTCTTTTGTTGCTTTGGATAAAAGCATATAATGTAGGTTTATAAGCTGCAAATATCAGATAATAAGCCAAAGTTTTTTTTGCACAAACTGTTGCGATCCTTTCAGATCATGTGACTTTCACCTTTCTCTGTCTGTAAGAAAACAACAATTCACAGAAGGTAAACAAAGAGAAATAAACCGTGTCATCTACAGCCACAGAAAATCAGCACAACTGTAATCAATCAGTGAATGAAACTGACTGAAATGTTTTTCTTATCGAGATGATTTTGTCAGTGCAGGTGAAACCAAACACAGATCTATAAACAGATCACATTACAGTAGTGGAGTATCTTACCTCATCATTAGACTTTCTGCAGAAGCCCTTGGTTGTTTTTCTTCTTGTCTGTTTCGAAAAATCATCACACACAATTAAACACCAATTTTGCAAAATGAAAAGGTTTTCCTCTCACTATAGTATCTGTAGGTGATACTTGCCATTTCTGTATTTCCTGTGGCGATAGTTAATCACACCAACACCAGCTATAACAGTCACCAGCAGAACAGCACCAACAATTCCTGCTACAGCAGCTGAAGACAGACCTGAACCTGGAACAGATAAAGACACACAGTCATTAGTGTGAGTGAATCTGACAGTGTATTTATGCCATATTCACTGGATATATATTCTCTGGACACCTTTACAGGGCCAATGTGCAGATGTCAAAAACTTATTTATCTATTAACATACAGAGATTATTTCATATTACAGATGGTTTAAAAACAAATAAAGCTCTCAGATCGCAAGGATCAAACCAGTTCATAACTTCTAGTCAATTTAAAACATGAGATGGAACCAGCTTCCAGAAGATGTCTGATGTGCCTCTAAGTAACGACTCGTAGATCCAGATTGAAAATGCATCTTTTTTATCTGTGCATTCCCTGATTAAGCATGGTTTCTGTAATGTACTGTTTATTTAAGCCTCTTGTCCTTTTATGTCCCTTATATTTATTTTAATGTAAAAGTTTCAATTTCTTCATCTTTTTCTTAAATATGTCCTTTAAGTGTTTTTTGGGCATCAACCTATTTTTGATTACAATAATAAAACAAAAAAAATTATATATATATATATATATATATATATATATACACAAAGCAGTTTGAATTACCCTGTATAAGAAATGTTCTTTATAAATAAACTTTCCTTAATTCATTAAATTTATAATATAAAATAAATTGCTGACACACCTGAATGTAACTGACAGAAATATGTGGAAAATGCCCCCATCAGAACAACTTACTTTTACTTTTATAAATTTGACAAAAAAAAAAAAAGAAAGAAAGAAAGGGGGAGGACACATACTTGTGTATTTATGCCATATTCACTGGATATATATTCTCTGGACACCTTTACAGGGCCAATGTGCAGATGTCAAAAACTTATTTATCTATTAACATACAGAGATTATTTCATATTACAGATGGTTTAAAAACAAATAAAGCTCTCAGATCGCAAGGATCAAACCAGTTCATAACTTCTAGTCAATTTAAAACATGAGATGGAACCAGCTTCCAGAAGATGTCTGATGTGCCTCTAAGTAACGACTCGTAGATCCAGATTGAAAATGCATCTTTTTTATCTGTGCATTCCCTGATTAAGCATGGTTTCTGTAATGTACTGTTTATTTAAGCCTCTTGTCCTTTTATGTCCCTTATATTTATTTTAATGTAAAAGTTTCAATTTCTTCATCTTTTTCTTAAATATGTCCTTTAAGTGTTTTTTGGGCATCAACCTATTTTTGATTACAATAATAAAACAAAAAAAATTATATATATATATATATATATATATATATATATATGCGTGCTTTTGGGGTTCTTCCTCGTTTTTGTCAGCTTTTGAGACTGGAAAACACAAGAGAATAAATATGAAATACAAAAGAACACAAAAGTTGATATTGAAGAAATAAGTCATCATGGCAGTTCTGTTCATTTCAGCTGCAGAAAATCCTGTAAAAACAGGGAACAAGCACCCTGCAGCATTACATTACTAATATCAGCTGTTCAAGTTAAAGATACACATCACAAGTCAGAGTGATCATTTAGAATTAGGACAGTTAAGCATTAAAAAAAAAGGGTCTTAAATGACCAAACTGTAACAAATCATTAACATACAGGAAAAGACAATAAACAGGTCTGGAGATCACTGTTCAAAGTGTCCAAAATGAAAATTCAATTATTTCAGGTTAAATGACATTAAATGACTCACCACTGACAGTCAGACTGATTGATTTTATGATTTCGCCAAGGTTGCTGCTTTTTGGGATGATTTTTGTGCTGTCACAACTGCTGGGTCTGTTCAAGTGTTCATTTTTGCCTGAACTCTCACTGAAGACCTCTGCTTCATAATGTCCAGCGTGTTGAGTTGTGATGTTTGTGATGGTCAGAGATCTAGTCTCATTGTCCTCCTTCAGTCTGTCTCTGAATCTCCCGCCTTCACCATCATATGAACAGCTCTTACCATCGATCATAGCTATGAGAATGCTATTAAAGTACCACCGCACCATGTCAGATTCTTTGGTAACACCAGGGTTTAGAGTGACACGATCTCCCTCCATCACTGACTTCACTTCATCTGTATCACCAAACACACCTGCAGACACAAATGAACAGTTACAAGTGTGTGTGTGCATCTGTACCTTCAACATATATTGTGGGGACCAAATGTATAAAAATCTATTATATTGCAGGGTAGAGTTGTGCCGATAGACGACAGTATTGTGTATCAATGATAGTCAGAGATATCACATGTGGCTGATGCCTTTGACGATATCAAGACTATTATTATTATTAGGCTAGTATTATTATCTAATTAATATTAGGGCTTATTTGTTCCATCATATTTCTTTTTACATGTTTTACAGTGTTGCACATTATAACCAATCACACACGATTCCATCGAGTTTATGAATGCAGTGGCCAATCAGAGGCATTCAGATGAGTCACCGCAGTTTTGCTGTTCAGTGAGCTGACTCGCTGACTGAATTCTGCTCTATTGCAAATTCTCATCATAAACAACAAAATGCATATGTATGTGCGATATAAGTATAATAAATGTATTCATCATACAGTTTAGACAGCTTCACTAATTATAATGTGAGTTTTTTGTGCATAAACTTGCACTAGACTGAAGTCATTGATGATGTTATTTGGTAATGTAAATGTTCTTTGCTCGTTTTCTGTAGCTGCTTTTTAAATAACTTTCTGAAGTAAATGTAAGCATTATAATTAGTAACTTCTTTTATTAAACTGTTAGAATATTAAATACAAATTAATTCATATTAAAAACATGTAATGAGTTAGAGGATTACACTAACATTAGGCTGCTTTTAGCTAAGATAATACGATATTTAGATAATATCGTGTATTGGCGACCTCACAGGCTGACGATAGGACGATAATACTATTGACTCTGACTTAAAAACTGTTAAAAATATCAGACAGCCAATGTATAGAAAATTTATATTCAATTTATACTGTTTTGAAGCAGGTAAAGACTTGTCACTGCTAAAAGAAAAAAAAAGACACACATAACATATATAAACACAAACATATAACTTGCATTTAAACATTAATTAAATGACTCACCAGTGACAATAACATTGAAGATCTTTCCACTGTTGCTGCCGCCCACCAGTTTATATTCTCCAGAGTCTGTGGTTCTGGTGTTTGTGATGGTCAGAGATCCAGTCTGATTGTCCAGCTTCAGTCCGTCTCTGAATCTCTCAGGACACTGTTTATCTGTACAGATCTTCTGAACTCCATTGATGTAAGCAATGCGAATGGTATTAAAATACCACATCATTATGTCTCGATGGTTAATTTTAACATCAGTGTGTAGAGTGACTGGATCTCCCTCCTTCACTGACACTCCATCTGAACCAGCATCAGACACACCTGAGATTAACAAGAAATTAACCATTATATATATATATAGGCCTATACAATTCCTTTTTTTCCAAACAGATCATAAAGTTTGCAGATTTCAAAAAAAAAAAAAAAAAGAATGTCCGAAAGAACAAAGTAGTCTAAATGCAATCAAACATTGATTTACACATTCACCCATCAGACAAACATATGCAACATGTGTCTCATGGATGATCTTGTGCACCCTAATTAACATAATTTAACCCACATCCTAATGCATATATTACTCCCTCAGTCTATTCATATATTTGTGCATTCTATGCATTTTCATTAACTCATAATAAATACCTATTGTGAATATTATGGCACAATGGGCGAGAGTAAAATTCAAATTTTATTTTTCTCTAATCCACTAGATGCAACAGTTTTACTGAAGCACTTTCCTAAACATTCATGTTTCACTATGCTCCATGTAAGTAACATTTTTATGCATTTTGGCAGATGCTTCAGGCGTCTTGCACTGGATTCTATGTACATTTGATACGTGATCAGTTCAATAACTGATAAATAAATAACGCCATATCAAGTTTTTGTACCAAGTCACTTGGCCTAAACGGTTACAGAACGCCTTTACTGATATTTTTCTATAATATATATAGGCCTAGGCCTTCATTTAGCCATTCACGCCCTGAAACGGCTCGTTTGCGTCCCCGCATCTTCAGAAACTTGAAGAAAACTACAACTATACACAACCACATATAATCACCAACACATTTTCACTTAAATTCATCCTCGACTTAAAACAGCAACAATTAAAAAAATAAGTAATTTCTGTCGAATGTAAAGTGATTAGATCTGGTGCAAAATGAAACTGCGTCAACAACATTCGTCGTTCCTATTTATTTCGACCTAAAGATAGATTATAACTAATAAATGTTTTACCGTGCACGAGCACAACACACAATGCGAGCTTAATAAAGGCCATAAAATGAATTTCCGCCGAATATAAAACAACTAAACTGGCACGAAATGAAACTGCGTCACAATCTTCGTTCGTTTTTCGCCCGGAAGAAAGACATGGCAAGATAAATTTCTTGTTAAGATAAATTTCTTACCTTGGTCGAGTAAAAATGAACATACTGAAATCAATATGAAGAGAACCTTCATTTTCACCACTTTGCAATAGAAAAACAAACGCAGAGTCCGTGAAATACAAGTGTCTCGCTCTTCCGCATTAAATCAAATGGCGACTAATGAAAGTGAAACTAAGCATATGTTCCTCACTGCTAGTAAGTGTAGCCTATAGCTAGCGCAATGACGAAGTTACGTTTCGTGTCTAATTGCATTCAGAAAACATACATGCTTTCAAAACACTGCATACAAACATTTTATATAGGCATATATATATATATATTTTGATTCTTCGGCACCTTCAGTGCTTGCACCCCTAAATTCCCAGTGCTCCCCCCCACCTTTAAGTGAAAGTCTTCAAACTGTTGAAGTCTTAATAGGGGCCATAAAAATGTTATGTAGTATAAAATAATTATACATTAACAAAACCATGTTATACATTATATTTTACATAACTACACACTGTTTAGAGAGTGTGTGTGTGAGTGAACTAAAGGAGGGTCTAACTCTGTCGGGGGAGGATTCAGACATTAGATTAGCAGTCAGAATGTTTTTTGGTGGACAGTATTACTACTTCAGACACTTAAAGAAAATGATTCACACATTTGTTTTGTTCTGTTTGTGCTTCTGGCGTCTGATTGGTAAGTTATGAAAGCATTTTATAGCTTCATTCCGCTTCAAAGCAATAAACTAATGCTACTGTTCAAATTGAAGTCCACTGAATCCACTTAGGATTCAGGTATCTATTTGTGTTTTCGCTTTGCGTGCACCAGAAATCATGGGATATACAGAATATTTAACATATTAAATTAAATGTAATTGAAAAGTAATGGACATTTTCAAATTAAGTATAATAGAGGCACAGAAATCACTTTAAAACATCAGTTTTTATTTTATTTTTTGTTGGGTGGGGTGGGGGGGTAAATTTAACGGATTGTTGAACGTGACATGTTGCAACTCTTCCCCAGCCATCTAAAAAAAAATATATAAAAACATATGCCTAATAATACTGCAGTAATAATGAACAACTGTAAAAGTCATGTTAATTCATTGGTCAAAATGCAGTAAAACTATGAGTGAGATACTGTGAGCCGGATTTCTCATATATAAAATATCTCATTCATAAAATAAATGTATTGAATGTGAGCAGCATTAGTAAACTTGTACTTTCCTGCTTGAACTTGTGTAACTTCACTCTTGTATTTTACTCAACAGCTGATAAAACACCATAACAATGAAATTAGTGGCTGTCTCTGCTGCTGTTCTTTAATACACATTTTACAAACTAAACAACAGGAAGCTTAATCAGTGTAAAATCTGTTTGTTCATCAGGTGTGTTTGGTGAGTCAGTGTCAGTGATGGAGGGAGATTCTGTTACTTTACACACTGATCTTACTGAAATACATGAAGACGACCAGATAGTGTGGACCTTTGAAGCTGAAAACTCTCTGATAGCTGAAATCAACAGAGCTGCTGGAATCTTCAACACATCTGATGGTCCTGATGAGAGATTCAGAGACAGACTGAAGCTGGATCTTCAGACTGGATCTCTTACCATCACAAACACCACAACTCAACATGCTGGACTCTATAAACTAGAGATACGTGGAGCAATACTGTCATCACAAACATCAAATGTTTCTGTTTATGGTGAGCAGAGATCATTTTTATGTCCTTATACATTTTTTTTTTTTTTACATACTGAATTTTAAAATCATTTTATAGTTTATGACACACACACTGTGAACACAAAACCATTTTTAAACATTAAATGAAAAATAGGACTATTGATTAGATTTATCCAGACTGTTCACTCATGTTTGCAGCTCGTTTGCCTGTTCCTGTCATCAGCAGTAACTCTTCAAACTGTTTATCTTCATCATCATCTTCATCATCATCACAGCAGAATTGCTCACTGGTGTGTTCAGTGGTGAATGTGGGTCATGTGACTCTCTCCTGGTACAAAGGAAACAGTTTATTGTCCAGCATCAGTGTGTCTGATCTCAGCATCAGTCTCTCTCTACCTCTGGAGGTGGAATATCAGGATAACAACAGCTACAGCTGTGTGCTCAACAATCCCATCAGCAACCAGACTCAACATCTGGACATCAGCAAACTCTGTCACACATGTGCAGGTACAGCAGCGCTGATATTAGCCATTACTCTCTGAGTTGATCACAGTTTTTGTTGTAGATCAGACTCACACATTTACTTCACAAACAGTGTCTCTGATAGTGTTGATTTCTGCTGCTGCTGGACCTCTGTTGATTGTAGCTGCAGTTGTGATATGCTGCATCTACAGAAAACACAGAAAAACTCATCAAGAAGGCAAGTGTTACCTACAGCTTTTGATAAGTACTACAACAAAAATTACACTTCAAAAACACTAAATATTTTAATTGATTGGTAGCCTTAGGTATCATTTAATTACAATTATTCTAAAAATAATTTGTAGTTTACACCCTTTACTCTTACGCACACACACACACGCACGCGCACGCACACACACACACACACTTTCTGAAACTAAAGCACACTGAAATGAACACAGAAATGAATTTAATAAATTAATTTTCTCCACAGTTTATGACATGTAAAGATGCAGTCCTGAGCTTGTTTTCAAATGAAATTGAATTATGATGTTTTACTTAAGCTTCAATGATGACTAATATTTGTCACACAGAAAAAAAAACTGTGTGACAAATATTTATAAATGATCTGCAAAGTATCTCTCTCTCTAATGTCTTTTTAACTATACTTGATAAATGCAGGCTTTGTTAGGGACTTTATTTTTGTTGTTTTAATGAATCCAATGATCAGCATGAGCCACTGATGCATCTTTGAAACAGATCAGACTCATGATGAAGAGATCACTTACGCTGATCCAACATTCTACAAAAGAAAAGCACAGAAATCGGTAAGATCATTTATTTCTAATTTATTCATTTTTGTTGAGCATCTCTGTATGATTTCAGCAGTCACATTTTTAGGTGTGTGTGCACTTGTATGTACAGACAAAAACAAACAAACAAAAAAACACGGCAGCATTTCAAGGTGTTTAGAAAAGCCATTAAGATCAGCATTCAATGTGAGAAACATTGACTTATATCCCATGATATTCATGACACTCACTATAGTAACTGAAGAGAGTCACAAAACAACAAAGTACATTTTAAGGTGATTAGTTCATATTTCCAATGATCAACATGAGCCACTGATGCAGTATTTTCTGTGTCAGCTGATGACATAATTGTCCAAATTACTGAACAACTTCAGAGGTTTCTGTCCGTAGGTTATTGTGCTGAAATATATATTTTAAAGCAATTATGAAATGGTGAAAGAGTGCAGGATCTCTAAATTCCATCATCACTACAGACTTCAACTTTCAAATAACTGCAAAAACTCAGTAATCACATTATTTACAGGGGTCCATACTGTGATCTAGTTTCTTGTTTGTGCAACTACATTTTTTATTTTTAGGTGCCATTACCAATTAACCATTACCAAGTAGGGATGGGCATTTTGGGAAATTTCTCATTTCGATCATCGATAGGTTTCAAAAACGATTAATCGAGTAATCGGGGGCGGGGCTTGTGCGGGGGGCGGGGCATGGCCGTAATGGATATAATGAAAAAATCTGAAGATTGTTATGAAAATGAATGTTAAAAATAAAAATATGACATGAAAACCTGTCTATGAAAACATGAACACATGATTAGGACATGTTAGATTAAGATTATGATGAAGCAATGTTATTAATAAAGAAGCATCTAAAAAGGAATAGCTGCCTGAGGTGAAGAGTGACTTTATGCCAATAAACTGAAGCTCATTCTATGACACATCCTATGATAAATCAGATAACTTAGATACATAGCAGACGTAACATTACAACTTGTATCTGCACAATAGGATGCTAAGTTATGCGCTAGACAGAGAAAGAGAGAGAGAGAGCGAGCTCCCATCGTGATGTGTTTTCATGACAGCGCGCTGAAAGATGGGCAAGGACAGAATTTACTATAGATTTCTATAAAGTTCTCATTATAAATGTATGGCAGATTTGTGCTATATTTTCATCTACGTTATTAAGTGTAATAGTTGTAATTAAGTTAAGTTTATTACGTTTTATTTTCCATAAATCCATAAATCGCCTGCGCGTTTTCGAAGCCATATGAATTGAATTATGCCCACAAATATGACGAAAAAAAGCACGGCCGGTTTTCTCAAAGTGAAGCCAGACATCACTACGTGACTTTGAGGCCATGATTATCTCTCTTCTCACGTCTTTTGATGCATCCTGTGGCAAGCTAACCAATCAGAGCGCCGCCCAAAGTGCTGCTATTACCAATCAGGGGGAAAAAAAAAATGTTTCGATCATCGTTTACATGATCGATCATCGCTGTCACGGTCGAGTACTCGATCACTGTTGCACATCCCTATTACCAAGTTGCATTAGACTTGCAGCACTGTTTGCTCTGCACCATGCAGTTCTATGAAATCACACTTTTTTTCACACAGCATTTTGTAAACGCAAGACTCAACATACAATACATTAAATGCATAAAAATATACAGCTTCACTTTAAAGCAATGCTTCAATCGAGTACATTTGAAAGTTGCATTTTTTTAATCCAGCTAATACAGTGTCATTGACATCAAACTTCATGTTAGCTTAGCAGTAGTATATACATTTCCTTCTGAAATCAGTGCTGATTGCTCTTATTAGACAAAAAAGTCAGTCAGTCTTCAGGGTTAATTTGTCTCATTTTAATTTATAAGATTTTATTATACCTGTGTGATGTGTTTTTTTTTCTTTTACAGAAAGGTAAAGAGGAGGAGGATGTGGTGTATGCAGGTGTCGCCATTAGAAGATAATACATTTTCAAACGGTCTCAAACTTTAACAGATTCAGTGATAATTTTACTAGGAATCTCCTGTGACACCCAGCAGTTCCTGAGTCTATGGTTGAATTTTGGGATTGGTAAAAATCACCACATACAGCAGCAGAATTTACAATGAATTCTGAAAGAATTTTTTTTTCAGTTTTGCTCTAGTTTTACCCCCCCCCCCAGGTTGTGAGAATATAAATGGGATTATCAAATGGCAAAATCTGCAATGTGATTATAAATATACAGTCTAATGCACTGTGTTTCTCAAAGTGAAATGTGGCACCGTGTTCATTAACACAGCAGCTCATGTTCCATTATTTTCAGTGTCTCAAGAGCTGCTCGGTTCACAGTAAATGCCATAGATACAGTATCTACGGTAAATGTTGCTCCAAAAGAATTTCATCTCTGTAAGTGTTGTGACTTTAATTTGCTTATTTACATCCGTCTTTACATTTGAAACTAAAGATATTAAGAAAAATATTAGTACTGCATTCACTGTAAAAAAAAAAAAAAAAAGTAAGTCCTTTTGTTCTACTAATTGTAGAGGCC